GTCCTGGCAATTGAGGGCCCTCTACTGGCTGTGAAGAGGTACTTCTATGGACTCCGTCTCTATCTGAAAGAAAAGATATACAGTGACTGTGCCTGGGAAGTTGTCAGAGGGGAAATCAGGAGAATCTTCTCTTCATCAACAGACTTGCAGGAAACACTAAGAAGAAAGAATGGAGACCTGATTTCATCTTGACTTGACTCTCAATGTGATATGCATAGCACACTTGCATGGACATTTCAAAGACTCTTGCTTATACTTTAGTCACTGAATTTATTGAACCCAGGGATTAATTTGTCCTCAGTACTCAACAAGTATATGTTAAAAATAGCTGCAGGGACATCAGTTCCTAGGAGAAAACTGTGGCGCTTTCTTATTTATTTATCTACTTATTTGTGTTATTGATTCATTCTCATATTTATAATATTTAATTTTACATTTAATAAATTATTATTTTTTTACATTTACTTTGTGCACTGTAGTAAATTACCTGGTATGGCTTTTCTAGCCATAGGTCTTTGTAAACTCCATGGTGGAATTTGCTGTGAGAGACTGGGTAGCTCCTGATTGTTAAAATCATCCACCTGGGGTATTTCTGTTGGGAGCAGCACAAAGTAATGCTCTGGGAAGTTCGCTCTCTCTCAGGTGCTTAGAATTCTGATGTTATGATTGGTTAGTTTGGCCACTCTGCCAGGCTCAAAAGGAGGCCTCCTAGGCAGAAGTCTCTCTGACTGCTGGCTGAGAAGGACGTGCTGCTGAAAGAGACACATGCTCCTGAGAGAAGTGTGCTGCTGGGAAAGAGACTCAAGAGACACGCATTGCTGAGTGAGACACCAAGGGACACGCACGGCTGGGAGAGAGACTGTGAGAGACTGTTGGCTGAGAGATGGCAGGCTGAGAGAGAGACTGAGTGTTTTTCCTGAACTTGAATTGTAGCCTGTTGCTTCCCTATTAACCCCATAATCTTTTTTTGTGAGTTTTGTGTGGCCGCTGAAGTGAATTACTGAACCCATCAGCAGGGTGGTAAGTGCTACAAGAGGACTGGTTAATATCAGAATTGGTGAAAGGGCTGGAGGGAGGCAGTATGTCTGGCCTTACCGGAATAGGCCCGGTGGTGATTCTGTCTTCCTCTTGTGGGGTTGGAGGAGGTCAGGAGATGTGGCCTCCTTGCCTTTTTAGCACATTGTATTAAGATTTTTTTGGGTGTGCGGGAGGAATGGTTGGTGTAAGGGCTGGAGGGAGGCAGCATGTCTGGCCTTGTAGAGATAGGCCTTGGGTTACTGATGGTGATCCTGTCTTCCTCTTGTAGGGTTAGGGGAGGTCAGGAGATGTGGCCTCCTTGCCCTTTTAGCAGTTAACCTTTTTCCATTATGAATCTTTATAATTTTTTTTCTCTTCATCACAATCATCACTGGTATTTGGAATGAAAATGCTTTTATCAAATTATCTCAATCAGTAGCCAGCACCGGTAATTTGAATTCTGGATATGCCAATTTTAGATTATAAATTCCTATTTGACTTTACTGTTAATTTTGAAAAACCATTTAAACAGGCCATTTGTATCAAATTATCATAACCTCTAAAATTATTCACCTATTCATCAGCTCCCTGTTTCAATCTTATACATCCTGAGTAGGTCTTTATGGATGTTTTATTCCTCCCACTTTATGCAATCTTTTGTTAGTAACACTTGACATTATTCCTCATTAATGTTTAGTTGTCTTATAATTAATCATCAAAATTCTCCAATTTCTGCCTGATTCCTGAATCCCTAAGAATTTGCACAATTATCCACTTGTGATTATTCATTATCTGCAGACTGGCTCAGAAGAGACAATTAGTCTATTCCATTCCTAATACTCAAAGCAGGTATGTTTTGAGTACCAAGTGGATATGTCTTTTTGTTCAGAGGATTAGTATTTGTAAGATAAAAGTCTAATGATTCAACTTATATGTGAACTTGCTTATATGGACGAGTTCTGGTAGTGCAGTGTCTAAAGCATTAGGCTGTAACCAAAAGGTTAGTGATATGAACCCATCAGCCATTCCATGGGCAAAAGATGAGGCAGTCTGCATCCATAAAGACTTACAGCCTTGGAAGTCTTATGGAGCCGTTCCACTACATCCTATAGGGTCACTATGAGTCAGAATAAACTCGATGGCAATGGGTTTGGTTTGGGTTTTCGTATGCTTGATTGGTTGGAATATATGGGACCAAAGCATCCTAGGTACCCTTGCAGTTCCAATAAGTATCTATTCATACAATTAGAGCTAACTATAGAATGATGCATTGAAATTAATATTCCTACAGAAAAGAGATCTTGTCCCCTCAGATAATCTCATTGTTGACAGGCCTGGGTGGGGCTGGTCATTTCTTCAAGCATTTGTTCCCATTTATGGTATATTACAATTAGAAAAATGTTTTTGCAATCTAGCTGCCACTTTGGCCCTAATTGCTGATAATGTTGCTGGTGGAATGGCAGTTCAACAGAAGTCCTTAGAATCACTTGTTAAAATTGTTTCAGACAATAGAATAGTCCTTGAATTTCTCCTAGCTCAACAAGGAGGAGTTTGTGCTATTGCAAATACCTCTTGCATTTCATGAATAAACATCTCTGGAGAAGTAGAAAAAGACATTACTAAAACACACCAAAAGGCCTCCTGGTTATATACTATTCCCCTCATGACCATACACTCCTTTGACATTTTTAGCTGTTACCTCAAAGTATCAGATCTGGAATACATTCTTTTCTGCCACCATGTGTGTAATTGTTATTATAGAGCTTGTTAAATATATTATGCATTGCACTGTGTTTATCATTGCCAAAACCAATCCTTGAGATATCTAGCCATAAAATGAATCACGTACTTAGAAGAAACTAATTTTGCTAAGGACACTGAAGTTTAATTTTGGGATAAGACCTTTTGGAACATTAGGTTATTCTTCTAATGTGGTCCTGTTTGCAACACCTTCCCTAATGAGAACCAACTCACCCTGAAGATGATGCCCAAAGAGATAACAAGGTAACACTGGATGGTGTCCATCCACCTCTACTAATAGAGCTGGTGTCTGGGTTCTTAAAGGCTCAAAAAGAGTAGCTATCCCCAAAACAATAAATCTTTACAGAAGATGAGTAACTCATTTATGGGTGACTTGTGCCCCTTAGTGGTGGCTTTATCAAAAAGGGGACAATATAAGCAACCCTCAAAACTTAGGCCCTCAACATGACCAAAATCGATGCTCCATATCTAAATTAAACTCAATTTCTAATCAAAATGCAGCTTTCTCTATAAACACTGCTTCTGCTGCGCTGAAGAAACAATTCAGGTTCTTGTAAAAGTTTACCTGCTTGTAACTCCAAAGGAGCAAGGGTCAAGAGTCTAGTTTGTGTGGGGAATTGTTAAAATATGCTTCTTAAGAGTGATTGCATGGATTTATCCAAGAATAATGCCTTGGACAACATGCTCCAGCAGGTTAGGAAACAGAAATGATAAATTAAGAAGGACTGTAGATTAACAACCCTCTTATAACTTTTTGTCATATACTTCCCTCATGCCTATGAGCACATAGCCCTTTGTTTATTACAACATATAAAAACTGTGCCTCTTCTTGAAATTTGGAACACTATGTTATCCTGCCTAGGTGTTACTGTGTCTCCTGATTTGTGAATCTCTCTACTTTTCAATACAACTCTTTCCATTCATTTCTAACAGAGTATAAGACTGGTATTTTGCTAAGACAAGGGATAGAATATATTTGGGGCACTCCATTTCAATAAATAAGAATTTAAATTATTAAATTGTTTCCTTACCCCACGGTACTGGCTTTCATTAAAAATCTGAGGTGGCAAAGGGTATCCTGTAGCTGGTCGACTGTTTTCAGGAACATTTTCTCTCATCCACTTCCGATTCTCCTCATTGGCTGCAATATCTTTTTCTTCAAATCCTATTTTGTTGGCTTCCAAAAAACCAAGCACATCTTGCTGCTTCTTCTTAATCTAGGATCCAAATGACAAGAGACCATATTGCTGACCAAATAAATTCTTGTTTTTATATTTCAAAGTCAACAAACACCAATGTTTATGAGTTTAAGGAAATTAATTCAAACATAGATAAAAATCTGTAGTTGTAAAGAAGACATATGGTTTCCCTTCTTCACTGTCATTGTTAATGTTTTAAAAGTGTGTTAAAACCAAAAAACTGGGTAAGATGGCGGACAAGGGAGAAAGACTGCACAGCCCCTCTTCTCTCAACAAAGAAAAGGGAAACCAATTAACACAGACACAGAAGATAATTCTGGACCCCTGAGCATTGAAGGGAAGGATATAGAAGTAGACTAAACCCCAACTAGCAGAAGAATTTGCATGAAAATACCAAAAAAAGGAGACAGACAGAGCTGCGGTCTGGCAACAATCCTGAGCAATTCTGACGGCACAGACAGCTTGGAGATTCCCGAGTGGTGGTAGGACCTAAGATTTAACCTAAGCACTGCTAGCCAGGGACTGCATGGGGACTGCTCTGGTGACTGGGGAATAAACAGAGAAGGTGAAGAGAAAAGCGGGCTGAGCTGTGGACTTGTGCCGGTCCAGAGGATGCTGCCATTTTAAATGTTACAAGCAGCTTGGCTACCTTGGATATTTAAAGAGACAAGCACTATCCAAGATTCCAGGGGCTTAAGAAAAGGTTTGGCTTTCCAGCAACCCCAAGGACACTCTGGACATGCAAGATTGAAAAGGTGCGACATTCCTCTTGTTACTCTTATACCCAACACCCGCCTGGTGAATGGAGGTGCGACCATCCCCCACTCCCACCCACCTCCTGGGCCCACAGGAACTCCATCACAGTCTGTGAGCTCAGACGGAGCCTGGGTGCCCTGCCCTGTCCTCCATCAATTTTTTTTTCTTTTTTGCTTCCTTTCTTCTGGTGATTAATTTGCTTGTATTTGTCTGTTTTAAAACAACTATTATTATTAATACTTTTGTTCTTTTTAATATTAATTTTATTCTTCCCCTCCCAGGCCCTAGTTTTCAGCTTTTTTTCCTTTCCTTGTTCCTGGTTGAATTTTTTTTTTTAATTTAATTCTTTTTTTCCTTTTATCCCCTTTTTTCTCGTAGTTAACCCATTCCTTGTTTTTCTTTTTGCATTTTTCTCATTTTTTTACTTAATTATTGTCCTTCTCTAACTTTTTTCTCTTAGTGTCCTATCCCCAAATATTGCAGATTTTCTTTTTTCTTCTTCTTTTTCCCTTTTTCCCTTTTTTTTTTTTTTTGATTACTGGATA